TACCATGACTGGTTGGCCAAAAAGCAAGCGACCGGATAAAGCAATAGCCATTGGCACAGACATAGCATCATAAAACTCAATGTACCTGCACAGATATCAATAAGTTATTAACACAACTGAAATAACAGCATAGATCAGGTATTTAGACCACATCGTGGCAAAACTGAGGTGCATAAAGAAATCTACTGGTTGGTGACAGAAGACATCCAGGGAAAGGACATGACAGCCCTAGAAATGGCAGTACTAGGCCCTAGAACAACAATATATAACCAATGTCAATAAGATTAAAACCATGTCTGGAACTCCCAACAAGAAAAAAGGTAAAGAGAGCTCAACAAAACCTCTCAGATTCAGCAGAGGTAAAAACACATACGGGTGGGTCCCACAGGCACATATCAGTAGCACTCAATTATATGCATTTGCAAGCATATGGTTTAAGATTTGATATTCAAAAAAAAAACTTTAAATGCTCTAAGGACAATTTGTACTGATTGGCATCTTACAACGTTTATAGTTGGTGTATTATTATTTTTAATCTAAAACTACGTTTACAATTGGTATATTATTTACAGACCATATCTCATAACTAAACTTCAAATGATGCAATCTTGAGATTCAACTCTAACTATAATTCACAGTACTTGACACTCTAGATAACCCTTTTCCTTTTACAAATACAATTCAAATAACCTTTACACCGCCACTATAATGATTTTAAGGGAAGTCAGAAATGCATGTTAACAACAACGGCTCAATCCCCAACTTGAATCGGCATAAATCCCCATTTTCCATTTCACTATGCTTGGACCTATTTTATTCCAAATCAACAACCTTCCTCCCTTACCAGACTTCGGACTGGCAATGTGTTAGCCATCAGAAATTCATAGAACAAACCAAAAGGAAAATCTTTTTAAAAAAAAAAAGCAAAAAACTATATGAGAAACACAGCTTTTCTACCATCTGAGAGTAACAGAGACCACACAGAAGTCAAAGGAACAAATCAAGAATACAGTCTGGCTGCAACGCAGCAACTTTATTAACCACCACGGTAGATAAACAACACTTTAGTTTGAATTAGGAGGCGTATCATGCCCCAATGCTACATCAAATGGTTAACATTCAAAATGAAAGCGGCACTATCGCAATCCTTGAGACTTTAGGAGTACTATACAAAGCAAGATGCACAATTGCACATTTACTTAAGAAAGAAAAAAGAAAAGAAATAAAACGCAAAATTTGCAGGGTATAGAATTTGATTAAAGACATACCCAACTCCTTTAGATCGCCTTGAATTCCGGTCCATGATTAACCGCACATCCCTCACCTAGAAATGTAGAAATGGATGTCAAAAGAAATAGATAAATTGAATTTAGAGGCCCTTTTGGTACTCATACTATAAACACCACAAAACCTGCAATAGGTCATGCATAAAACCATCAGTTATAACCTGATCAGACTACATTGTGCATCCAATCAAGTATAGAATCTTGAGACATGAGAAATTAATTAAGCTACCTGATACAGAAGGCAGAGAGAGAAGCAGTTACTGCAACAGCAAGGAGAAGCATACAGCATGCACTAATAGTATACGGAAGTAGGATCAAGCGAACAACACAAATCATTTTTTTGCTCCTAAACATGAAGTATCATATCAATTCTAGAGGACCACAAGAAAATGAAATGTAAACCAGCACACATTGATAATAAAACCACAAGTTGTCCAGCAGCAGAGTTTATGTACCATGAAGCAAAAGGCAGACCAAATGAACTAACCTTTCCTGCTTGTGAGAAGAACTCATACACATCCCTTTCAGTTGCCTTCAGGGGCATCTATAAGAAGTGCAGACCAAATAAATCAGTGAATGAGCCTATTGATCAGCTAAATCACCTAGTGTGAAATGCTCAGGTATGGAGATGAACAAGGCAGAAACAAAGACATCGAAACCTACCTGGTAAGC